CATCACAAAAGGAAAATATAATTTTTTGTTGTTTATGTCGACACATGTTTCAAGTTTTTATTGTTGTTATTGTTATGCACCCCAGGTTTTTGTTATTTTTACAAGTGCAACCTGAATTAACAAAGGCTGAGAAACAGTGATTTAGATAGTTCAAATTTACAACCTAACCCCCACACATATACTCACAGCGCTTACATGATTTTTTTCTCCAGTGAATGACTGTAATTTCTGTCCCACTCAGAAGTATCCATTTTATTTCACAGTCTTCAGAGACAAACTTAAAATATTTTGCATCATTTGTTAAAAAATAATTATTACAAGTTTTGTTTTTTTAAATCACAACTTTGTTTTTTCGTTCTTTTTCCATGCATATTTTTCTTGATCGTTTAAAAATTGAATTTCTACCTATTTTTTTTTTTTTAACCCTAATCCTGTCAAGGCGATATTTTTGGTGGTGGGAAATAATTTATATTCACAGTCAGATATAAACAATTTTCAAGTCGGTAACACTTTCTTTCAAATATATCACACTGAAACACCAGTACTCGCACGATCACCAAAGTTAAGCAACATCAAGCCTGGTAAGTACCTAGATGGGTGACCACTTAAGAAAATCAGTTGCTGTAAGCTTGGTGTAATGGATAACGACTCGAAGTTGGAAATTTCAGTCGAGTTCGTTATATTCACTCACGTGCATATATCCTTTGGAAAAGTATGTATTCACCGCCTCTCTTCCCCAAGCTATGGGTTTAATAGTAGGACTTTTATCAGTAAATAATTATTATCGCAAAACAATTTGAAAAAAAAAATTCTAGCTTAAATAACCTGCAAATGGTTGATAATCCGTAAAAAACGAATCAGTGAATCTGCCACACTTCCAATGCTTTTTTTTCTTTCTTTCTTTCTTTTTTTCGTTTGTTTACATTTCAAAATCGATAAAGCATTGAAGTCATTAATGATTACCGACAAAAATCAAAACGAGAACTGATTATCAAACTGATTGCAACATTGACACTGGAACAGATGGTGCCTCAGACAGTCAGACTAGACGGAGTATTGCTGTCATATCTGGGTTGGAGCTACACAATTCTTCTTTTTCAGCAAGAGTGCAAAAGCGTTTACGCAACCTTGTGGGTGATTAATTATTTGCCACCCTACAACCTCTTCCCCACCACTGAAATGTTGCTATTCTACCGCTATTTCTATGGCAAATATTCTGATGAGCTATATTCCACAGCTCCCCCAGTTCAAACCTTCACAGATAGGACCCATCATACCACATACACAGAATCAAATCCTCCTCATTCCTTTCATATTCCTTTAGTAAGGAGGAAGTTCTACTTCGACAGCTTCTTCCTCAGATCTGTTACTTTGTGGAACAGAATCCTAAGTGTATGCTTCCTCTATCATTACAATAACCGTCTCAAGTCTATGGTCAACTGATATCTAGCCTACGGTATCCTCATGATATGCATTACAATATCTTCAATCAGTAACCCTTTACCTTGAGTGGCTCTTAGGCCTTGTATTGAGTGATCAATTGCATAAAAAAAATTACATGCCAAATGTCTACCATGAGGACTCTGTATGCAAGAGTCAAACGTTAGACTGCTGAGTGTGAGGAACTCTGATCAAATATGGATTAAAATCCGACCGAATGATAGAATAAGGAACAAATAGGGAATGTTTATACATTTGACATGTTTCGCTTTTATTTAAGCTTCATCAGAAATTTTGGGAAAATGAGTTATGGAAGAGAAAGTTCCAATAATTTATGCTCTGTGTTGCTTGATTTTCATTGGTCAAGTAGATCTCACATGTTTTTCATTGGTCAGGTAGAACTCACGTATCTTTGTCTTGTGGTGTCAATGAGTGTGTATGAGTGTATGTGCACCTGGATTCTAGTTGATATTTTTGTGTCTGTCTGGTAGTCTTTGTGAGTTTAAATCTTGAAGATGCTAGTGGGATTATGATGAGCCTGCATGTTTGTATATCATATTTCTAGTTAGTCTTGCAAGAATGGATTAAATGGTCTTCTTGTTTAAGTTGGTTTGGTTTGGTTTGTTTTGTTTTATGGCATATCGACACTTCAATGGGTTATTTAATGCTGACAAAAATTTTATTGCTGATAATAATTTTTTACTAAAAAGTATTTTTGGTATTAAAAACTATATTTGAACTTTCATAGTGTTTTCACCCCAGTTCAGGAGTTAACTATTTGCCCATAGCTGAGTCCCTAACAGGTGCTACCACCCGGATCAGGGTGGACTTGGGAACACCAGCAATTAAGAGGTGATTCCTTGCTCCCCAGAACCTCCTGGTCAGAGGCCTTGTAGTTTATCGTCTTACCCAGGACGCAGATGTAATTTATTATCATACCCAGGATGGGTTTAAGTTGATCAATGCTGCCACAATACTTGCCTTCAGTTCATCTTTGGTGTTACAAGGAGTTTTGTTGGTCACTTACTCAACTGCACTCCACACTTAATAATCAAGGGGACTGCAGTCTGGGGAGTTAAGTGGCTAGATGTAAGGGGGTATGTGGTCACAGAAATTGTCTGACAGCTATGACTGGGTTCTGCTACTTGTGTGGCATGGTGCAGAGTCTTGATGCCATACATAGGGTTTTCCAGTAGCCACCTTCTTGACACAGGGTAGCACTACCTCCTAAAGGCACTTGATGTAGGCCTCCATGTTGAGGCTGAGGCCCTGTGAGAAGATGAATGGAAGCATAATATTGTTGACAGGATATATCATCTTTCTGAATCTTCTGCACTGTCCTCAGAGTGACACCCAACAACTCTGAAATGTTTCTATTGGAGCTTCCAGTGCAAATGCCAAGCAGTACATCATGCTATTTCCAAATTTCTGGTGATGGGATTTGCATCATGGTGCTCTTTTTCTCACAGATGGTGTCCAACTGACCCTACTATACTTTACAGTTAACAAAATCAAAACAAATGATGCATATGCATGAAATTAAAAATATAAATTGGCGACAATTTAACCATCGCACTCTCTCTCTCTCTCTCTCTCTCTCTCTCTCTCTCTCTGTGTGTGTGTGTGTGTGCGCATATGACAGGGGATACCGCCTTCTTTTCTGTTATATGGATTTATTTTTTTTTACAGTAACAAATACTGATTGCAACCATCTGGTGTAAGTATATAATCTCTGTTGTTATTAATCTTTGGAAAGAAAAATATTGTGTGCATTGCAAAAGCAATATCATAAAATAATTTTTCTCCTACAAAGTATATTTTCTATTTTTTGTTCCCGCCCACCATCAACATGCCTAATGCTAGATTCATGGAAAGCAACACACTGCGCCTTCTTGACCTCACATTTTCAACAGACTTGAAGTGGAACAACTACATCAAAGTAATAGCTGTATCTATTGCAAGGAAAGTTAGGTCACTGTTTCGTGTCAGAAGGTTTTTCTCGTCAAAATCCATCTTGCACATTTACAAATCTACCATTTGTCCATGCATTGAATACAGTTGCCATATGTGGTCAGGTGTTCCTGCTACTCTTGACAAGATCCAAAGCAGGATCTGCAATGTAAGTGATCTTGACTTGGCATCTTGACTTCAGTCACTTTCTCATCAACATGACATGGCTTCCCTCTGTCTTTTCTACAAATATTTTCATGGCTACTACTCTGATGAGCTTTTTTTCCTGGTGCCCAAACTATGTGAGTTTAAGCATGCTACTAGATTGGTATATAGGTCCCACCTTTTTACTGTTGAATTAGGTAAATGTAACAATCATTTCTACTCCAAGAGTTTCTTTTCTTGCACTTCCCACTTCTGGAACTCCCTTATGTTTCCTTGCTTCCCTGATAACTATAATCTTCAAAAATTTAAATGCAATGTCAATCACCATCTTCTATCTTCTTGAACCCCATTCAGCTTTTATCCTTTCCTTGGTCCTCAGTCTTTTCTCCAACCTTCACTCTCTTTAAACCCCTGTGTACTAGTGGCATTCTCACCTTGCTTGGGGTGAAATGATTAAAAAAATATATTTCTTCATTAGAAACTTATCAAAAACAAATGTAATCATTGTTTTTCTTTCATGCTCTTAATTGTTATTATGCTGAAAATGAACTCAGATAACTGTGAATAATAATAATAACAAATACCATACATGAACAAATTAATAAAAAAAAGAATGACAGTAAGGCTTCAGCAGCAGCAGCAGCAGCAAGAAAAGGTAAGTGGTGGCAAATGCAGTCAAGCATGACAGCAGCAGCAAACAAGAAAAGAGAACATTATGTTTAAGGCTCCATGTTCAAGATTCAGGATTATAGAGCGGATTTTTGAATTTGATTGTAATTCACAGTATGCATGTTCCCAGTTTTTTATACATACCCAAAAGCTGAAAAGGGGTTGCTGCTGCTGAGAGAGTTATCAATGCATGCATGTCTAGCAAAAAGGTTCAATGTCTGCTACACACTACAAGACAATGTAATAGAATTAAACCAATATAAAAACAAAGTCTCTTTCTTTTTTTTTTAAACATTACTTGATTTTTAAAATCTGTCCATATATTCACAATGTTTTCATTTATGATTTTTCATATTTACTGTACTTCATAAATCATTAAAATAAACTATAAACAAACAAAACAAACAACATAATCATGCCAAATTAATACATATCTATTTTAAATATGACTACAAAATTCACCATATTCATGAAATAGCCTCAAGTTGTTTGAGTTCATTGTTATATGTGTGCTTAAATAGGCTTTTTCAAATTTGAAAATTTCCTTTTTCATGATTATGATGGAAATTTTAAACTGAGACCTTTCTAAAGTTTCATCTTTAAAACAATTATTAAAGGTTTTAAAATTGTATATGCATAGTTTATGAGGTCAATTAAAACGATATCAATCAATTTTTATTGACAAAATTTATTTTGTTTTCGTTCCATGTGAAATGAAGAGAGTTACTTCCCTTCCTTTGTCTCAGTTTCACTTTTAAGGAGATTTCCCGATCAGATTACTTTTGGAAAAATTCTGAAATATATTAAGAAAAGATTTTGTTAAAACTCAAAAATAAACATTAGTGAAAATAATATATATTCATATAATATTCAGTTTCTTTTTAATAACTTTGGAAAGTTTAACAATTTTGATTCTTACATAAAACAACTTAGGTAAAAGTTACAAAAAGTTAAAAAAAAATCAGACAGACAAATCTTGTTAGTATTGATTAACAAAACATGAATCCTTGCTGCCTAAAAACACCTGACTGTGATTAAGCTTTTTATTCAATTGTTCTTATGTCTGGAGAAGAGATTTCTTTTACAAGCATAAAGTCTGTAAAAACTGTCTGAATGTTGTATATATCAACAGATAGATGTGACATTCAGGCACTTTCTACACATTATGTCCAGAAAAGAAATCCCTTATACGAACACATGAAAAACTGAATAAAAAGCTGAATCACAGTACCTTGTAAGTCATATTGTATAAAAGAGAGATTGCTGTCCAAATACACAATTATATATATATTCATACACACACACACACACACACACACACATATATATATATATTTATATTGGTCATAACACAAACTCGTTTTCATGATGCTTAACTATTCATTTGAATGACAATTCCAACATTTTTAGACATTTAAAACATGACAGGCTACATACACAATTCCAGAAAATCCTTGTTGAAAATACAACTATACTTAACCATGAAAACAATAAACAGAAACTAAAAATTCTTGAAGCTATTTACATAAAACAGTTGAAACCTAAGCTGAAGAAAATAAATTACGAAAACTCCACAAATATACTTAAATGCTTATAGTAGATAACAGGAGCTATTGGTTTTTTATACAAATGGCTTTCCATACGTAATACTTCTCTTCATTTTCACTCTCACATATGACGTCATGAACCGCAATGTCATATTCACTTCCTGCGTTTTATATACACGATACAAATAGACAAAAAAAACTTGTCTATATTACTTAATGAAACATCTACTAATATATATATATATATATATATATATATATATATATATATATATATATATACAGGGTATAACAGAAAAATTGTCCAAATCATTTTACAGCATAATTGTCCATCCCACAAAATGTTTAATATAAAAAAACTAAAATGAGTTTCTTTTTTCAAAGTTTTCCGATGTTTAGCCATCTTGACATCATTTGTTGTAAGAATCACTAAAAAACCCTTTGAGTTATTCAGCTAGAAAAAGAACAGGTTAAAATCATTTTTTGTCAGCCCCACTGTCTTCTCAAATGAGCAATGGTGAGAGGAAAAGATCATTCAGGACTTCTGGCTTCCATCTTCAAAGTTCCTTCAAGAATCATCAAGAGAACAGTGAATAAGTTTAAAAAAGAGGGAACGGTAGAGAGGAAAACTGGATCAGGAAGTCACAACAGGAAGAGGGATCATCATTTCAACTCAAATCTAAAGTGATCAATTAGAAAAGATCCAACTCAATTCATAAGACATTAGGCACATAAAAGAGGAGTTTCAGCTATGATAGTCTATAGAGCAGTTAAATAAGACTTGAAAATGAAATTGTACATGAAATCTCTGAAGCACATTGTTACTCTAGTAAAGAAGGTTAGAGGGTAAAGATAATCTTGAATAAGTTGGAAGATGATTATGGAATAATATATATATATATATATTAACTTTATTTCAATCCGTCTTGAGCTTCTGATTCTTAGCTATGATTAATTAATGATGAATGTGTCATCTCCATTTATGATCGATTTCATCACAATTCTTCTGTTAAGCTTGGAGAGTAACTATATATTCTTATTGCTCAAAGTAGAAAACTAATAGAGTTATAAAAATCTTGGAGAATTCCAGCAAGATATCATTTTTAAGATACAATGGTTCAAACTTAATCTAACAATTGGACAATTACACGATTTGGACAATTTTGTTGCTACACCCAGTATATATATATATATATATATATATATATATATATATATATATATATATATATATATATTTTGTTTGAATAAAAGACAGACTACGTTAAGATTCCATGTAATAAGCTATTTCACCATAACCCTTTAACAGGGTTCTGGATCATCAGACTTTTACTTCAAAAGCTGAAATGAAGAATGAAAAGAAAATTCACAGGTTTTTTACGGACCTCATCAAATATACGCAAAAGTTAACGAAGTGAGGAAGTGAGGTGGGAGAGAGGGTGTGAGTGTGTCATATGTATCATTTTAGTTTTCTATTTTAACCCCAGTGTGTCGGCTGGATGTTGCTCTAATCTAACGCGTCTCGTCTCTAGATAAAGGTGGTTAAGGGGTGGGCGATAAAGGCTACATTGAGGAAGACGCGTTATAACAGCCCCAATAAATTATCCGACAGGTTTCATTCAAATTCCTAGACGCTGTCAGTTCGCGTTACTTTAACGTGCAACATCCAGCCGACACACTGGGGTTAAAATAGAAAACTAAAATGATACATATGACACACTCACACCCTCTCTCCCACCTCACTTCGTTAACTTTATGTATATTTGATGAGGTCCGTAAAAAACCTGTGAATTTTTCTTTTTTCATTCTTCATTTCAGCTTTTGGAAGTAAAGTCTGATGATCCAGAACCCTGTAAAAGGGTTATGGTGAAATAGCTTATTACATGGAATCTTAACGTAGTCTGTCTTTATTCAAACATATATGCTCTGAATCTTACATTGAGCTCTCTGGATATCATCCTCTCAGGTCTACCCATACGGATTACCTAAATTTGAATAAACTATATATATATATATATATATATATTATATATATAATCATCATCTCCAACTTATTCCAGTTGAATCCATTACATTGGGAAAGGTATGAATCCTCTTCTCTCTCCAGCTATGGGTAAATAGCAGGACAGACTGGGTTCTATAGCCTTGGATGGCAACTGGTCTAGGAGAAGGACAACTCTGAATTCAAAACCTGCAGAGGGTCGTTTGGGGACCTTGTGGCACGTAGTGCACCAGGTCTCTGTAATCAGCCCATCAAAATGTGTGGATGGTTCTGCACGAAACATTCACCACCATAATCAAATCTCATGTGCTGTTATCGGGCTGTCGGTTTCCTGGGAACTGATCTGCTTGACCCTCATACGTCGAATTCGACAGCAGAGTCAAGTATATATATATATATATATATATATATATATATATATATATATATATATATATATGTGTGTGTGTGTGTGTGTGTGTAAATTATGAATAATCCTTCTCAGGCATGGAAGAAATTCCATCAGAAATTGTCTGAAGTTCATTTACAAGAAATTTGACCCAAGCTTTCAACATTCTTAAGTTATCATGATTGTAGGTAGAGACAATTGGTGAGTTTCTTAGAACTAATGACTATTGCAACATAGACAAAGTCTTCTGTGACATGTCAGAGAAATGTTTTCTGCCTAAATACACAGAATATACATAAAAATCACTGATGATGCATGACAAAACATTAAACTGATGGATTTCATGAAATATATATAGATGAATATTTCTTTTAAAAATATATCAATTGGTCAATTTTGGAGTAGGTTTGTTCCCGTATTTGATTTAAGTAAACAAAAATATACGAGTATATATGGCCAAAAATTTACTTTATCATAACATTATTTTTATACTTTCTGATATTTCAGCTCAAACACCAGTATTGTAAAAGAAAAACAAAAAAAATAGTTGTCTTTCATTTTTCATCAGAATTTTACTTTTAATTTTTTAATTCATGTATTTTTATTAATTTTTTCTTTTTTTTCTTTTTTCTTTTTTATTTTATAGTACAATGGATATATATATATGTGTGTGTGTGTGTGTGTGAGAGAGAAAAATATAGTTTGAAGGTATGTTATATTTATTGGTAAGCATGCTCAATATCAGAGATAGAGTGTATGCAAATATAAAGTAAGTAATACTCTAAGTATATCCTCACTCTTCTAGATCTTTTTGCCTTAATGCAGGTATCCCCCTGGGCTTTGTCAATGGACCTTCATTGTTCCTAATTTTCATCAACGATCTTCCTGATGGCATCAGTTCTCAAGTCAGTATCTATGCTGATAATACAACGATTTACTGCTGGCTTAATAGTAAGACTGATCAGTTTGATGACATCAAATTGGTAGCTGATCTCAAAATGATGATTGATGTTACATTAAAATTTTTGAAGATTGTAGTTATCAGGGAAGTAACTAAAAAGAAAAAGGAGCTCCACAGGTGGGAGGTGTTAGAAAAGAAACTGTTGAATTAGAAGTGGGGGTTGCATTTAGCTATTTCAACAGTAAAAGAGTGGGACCTAGATGTCAATCTAGTAGCACTCCTAAATTACCTGAATTTTTTATAAATGTGGCCTGTCCTATGATAAGCAATATTTCATGTGACCCACTGATCAAAAACAAGGTTACTCATAATTATTATATTCTTATTAATTATTCTTATTATTATTATTCTTAATAAGTAACTTACCAGTTAGATCTCTGTCCAATTCTTCTATTGGAAACCACTCTGATTTGGTCTAAAATGAAAGGAAACAATGAATATTATATTAAAAGTCCAGAGCTGCAAAAATTCATGAAAAACAATGTGAGGTGAAATGCAGGTTTGATTGCAAGTTTAAAGACAAGTGCTGTGAGCCAAGAGATTGAAAATGTTTTAAGTGATGAAATTCCAAAAACACCAAGACAATTTTGTAAGAATGATAAAAGTTTCTATTCGTGGTTCAAAACCAATTGGAATCCAATCCCTTCCTTGAGGTATATACTGTCATCCTGATAGATATTCTTATGGAAATGTTGACATTCTATGTACAAACAACATCTTTCCAATGAGAGTTTGACATATTGTTCAGTCCACTCGTCCAGAGGTATTATAGCAAAAGAAAGTTCATTTATCCTCGACTATTTAAAATTAATAAGTAGTTAGTCATCACTGGTCAGTATTCAATGACACAGCAACTTAACTGGCAAGAGCATGATTCTTACAGCTGCACCTGGACAATGCCTGATTAAAATCAAGTTATCTAGTGGTAGGTGTTGTGTACTAAATAACAATCTGAGATTGCCACTAAGTTGTGGTATCTTTTTCATTGAATCTCACTGAAAATTAAAGCTGCAAAATGTTACTTGTTGGCAATGATGACTAACACCAGAGTGTAATTAAAAGAAATTTAAAAAAGATTAATTTTTATGTACACACACACACACATATATATATATATATATATATATATATATATATATATATGTGTGTGTGTGTGTGTGTGTGTGTGTGTGTGTGTGTGTAAACATTGATGTCAACACTCAGAAGTGACAGTCTGTTTCATCCTAAATGCAATCATCAGGGTGTTGACTTCAATGCCCACTTTTATATTTACATAAACTCTATCCCTGCGATTGAGCACTTTAACCCATAAATATAGCATACCTTAAAAACAATATTTTTTATCATATATATATATATATATATATATATATATATTTGTGTATTTAGGCAGCAATCCTTCTTTCATGCATATTTCATTAAAAACGACAGACAAGGTGCTTTTATTTAGTTTTTTATACAATTTCGCATGTGATCTAATATTTTTCTTTTCAGATGATAAATTATATAAAAACTGTGTGAATGTTCTTTTTATCCGAGTGTTTTCAGCTATACATTTAGCCATTTTCAAGGATTATATTTTAACTCTTAAAATTAGAAATAGTTTGTTGTATGTATGTTTTATAAAATGTTTTCATTTTTTTGTTTCAAAACACGGTCAAGATATTATGTCCATGTTCAAAGTTAATATTATTAGGTGTTTGTTTATTTTTATTAATAAGGCTTCCATTATTTTTAGCCTTTTTTGCATGTGGATGATGCTATTATATTAGTGTTGTTGACAAGTATGTTCTGAATAGTGTCCAGTAGGTCTCCATGAATATTTAAATGAGATCTAATTGAGCTATTGTCAGAAAGGTGTAGAGTTAGTCTGCGTGTTAAACATGTTGTAGTGTGGCAAATATTATTTACAAATGCAAATGCCCATTAAGGAATTGTATTCCTCAACAATCAACTTTCATTAATAAATATATTGGCCATGCTACAACATATAAGAAAGGCTTGGCTATTGGTTTACCATTATAGTGATATATATATATGGAATACCTCAAGGAAACAGCAGTAGGAACAGCACCCCTGAAGTCAACAGTATGGATAAGATATGTAGATGATACATGCATACTCTGTCCACACCAGGTAGCTGTACAAATACCACAGAATGCAGAACTCAGCCAGACTTTCAATCCAGTTCACAATGAAAGAAGGAAACAATAATCAGCTAACCTTTACTGAATCTACAGCTCAAACAGAGAATAGGCTCAAGACATCTGTATATTCCAAGTCAACCTTCACCAGACAATACATTGATTTTAATTTTCGCTATCCATACAGTGTGAAGAAAAGGATTGCTCAAGGCCTATGATATCATGCAAAAATCATGTCATCATCTTGCAACATGCCAACAGCAGATGATCAGTAACAAACATACTCTTCAGAATAACAACAACCTTGCAAATGCAACATCAGCTTCTGCAGGTAAAAACAAATGGGTTGAGGAGAAGGATGGGAAAACTGCCATGGTCTGTTTCACTTATGTAATAGGTTATTGAAAAACTTTCAGATCTGTAACTCATACAACATGAGAACAACATTCAGAAGAGTTTTTACCTTATGCAGAGACAAGCCTAACAGAGAGGAAAACATGACCAAGAACTGGATGCATTTCATCCTTGCAGTTGTTGCAAAGAAGACAAGGATGAAACCAGCTACTTCCTAAAATGATAATCTTGAGCAGAACTGCCAATTTATATCTTAATTACAATCTCACCATTTTTGTTGGGTATTATGCTAGTAGTAATAATTATTCAGATACAAATTAGCAGGCTAATGAGGATAAAAATATAGTGACACAATTTTAACAGTATAATTTATTTTAACAAACTTTAATTTTCTTAGCATGGAGTTAAAATGATCTAAGCATTCTGTTAATAAGAACTTTTTATATGTCTATCCGCCGAGTGATGATGGCTCAGTGGTAGAAACTCAAATCAGTCGAGGTTTTGATCCTGGCTTGAAGCATTCAAATGTTTAGTTGCACTTTGGAGCTGTGATACAGTGAGACAGCACTGTCTGCAAATGATATATATATATATATATATATATATATATATATATATATATATTTAATGAACTTTTATATAAGAAGCTGTACAGATAGAATAGAGCTACAAAAAAGCATAAAACTCTACAATAAAAATATTTAATTAATTCAAATAGCATTGGAAAAATTAATAAATTTATTTGAAAACCCAACATAAAACTGATTAATAATAATAATATTAATAATTAATAATGATTAATTGATTCAGTGATTGAAAGTGAATAATTTTACAGTTTACTGATTGGCTAATCATAATGCTTTTTTGGATTGCTTAGGAAAGATCAATATTGAAATTCAACTGGTTTTTCTTTTGCATACACATTTTTTGCACATATTTTTACTTTTAGTAAAAAGAATTGTTGTATTGTGCTGTACTACGACATGTGATGAATAGTCAACTTCTGTCTCTTAGTTCACTCTACACTTTCTATCTCTTCTACTTAACATATGCAAATAGGTAGAATCCTATTTACCAATCCACTACAAGAACATAAATTATTATCTTTGACAAAAATCCTTGGACAATAAATTTTGATAGTATTTTGATTTTAATTCTTAAAAGGATATTTTCATCACAAGTAACAGTTTTGGACTAATTGATGTAGTTTGTATAATGAAAAAAATTATCTTTTTCTAACTTTTGCAAAAAGTGACAGGCCACGATGAGTTTTTAAAGAAAAGAAAATGTTTAAATATGAATTTATCTATGAAATGTCAACTAATTTTTAATACCTGTTTTTGTTGACTGTATAATCGATGGGAAAGACCATTTTCAAAGGGCAGCAGTGATTCATGTTCTGAAAATTTTCTGAAATGATACAAAAAATTAAGAAAGGAACCAAAAAAAGAAAATTTAGAATTTTTAAACAGAAAAAGTTAAAAATTCTATTTTTAATTTGTCAATTTTTTTAGCATATGTCATATCATGAATATATTTTAGTTATAACTTTTAATAGTATTAATGTGTTCAGAATTATGAATTTCACTGCTATAAATTATGAGTCAACCAACCAAGGCAGAACCAAGGTTGAGTGGTAGGAAAATGCATCTTGATTTAGTTTATAATCTTTTTTATCTGACAGTTCATTGTTTATAATGCATTTCAGAGTTTAATTGGGAAAATTTGCAAAGAGAAAATTTTGGTTCTTCATGAGCTTTTGCTTGGGAACCAATCGAAACATTCAACCATCTGCAGTTTGTCTTTTAAACAAGAATGCCAACCTTTCATTTTTGCATCACATTGTATAACATCTCTAAGATGATGAAAAATGGGGTTTCCATGTCATCAGAAAACAAATCAACAACAAAAAACACAATGGCTATCACAAAATGAGAAACCAGGGCTAACACCCAAACCAGTTCTCTATCTACAGAAGTCTTTGGTTTGGGCTTGGTGTGATTCTATTGATAAATAACCTTTACCACTCCTTTTGTAGCTATAGATGTATTCTGTCACCTTGAGACAGTTGCTATAAATAAACACTTGTCAACTGTTATTTCCAGTATTTTAAGCTGGAAACAGCCTACTACCTTTTTGGAATGGGGCTAAACTTCCATTTGCTGATGCCTTTTTGAATTCTTCTAGACTCTACACGAGATGTAACATCAATTTTTATGGAAGTTACTGGCCCTAGGTATGTACCTGATAGCTTTTCTGAAAGTGAATTATTTTGTCTATTTATAAATGACGAAATAATAACTTTATTTGCCAATGAGACAAATAAATATGCTAGCCAGGTGAAGGAAAGAGCAAACAAATGCTGATACCTTTTCATATGTAAACATGAAGAAGCACATCGCTTTTTTCACAAAATGAAAAGCCACCTAAGTCATTTTGCTTCTTATTGCCCACCAGAATTACACAAGAAGTTATAAAAGTTAAAGTATGTTAAATTGTTAATGTATTTGTTTTTTATTTTGTTTCAATTTTTTGTTTTCAATGTCAAAACATGCAAAACATAATACATTACATAATGCATCACATCATAATATTACTCAGCCATTCTTTTATTAGTATACAAAAAACTAAAATCTATACACACAATACAAAGAAAGTTATAACAATTTTAAAACTGTAGGTGTTCATGTTTTTGCACCCCCCCCCGCAAAAAAAAATTAGTGACTGGTGGAGCAATTCTAGAAAGAATTTGGTGTGGCAAAAGCTAAAATAGGTGTTTGTATATATATATATATATATATATATATATATATATATATATATATAAATATGTTTGCCTTTTGTCTGGACCATACTCCTCCCCAGTCTTTTGAAAAGGAGTAGAGGTTTAGGATTGGGCTTCTGTTTAGGATTGGGCTTCTTGGTCCTTCCAATGTTTTTTCTTCTTTCAAATCCAGTAGCTCCTTGTATTTTAGTGGCATTATAACCTGATTTGGGGTGAATTGATTTATATTAGAGCAACAAAAGCAAACATATTCAAAAGCAATTCATAACAAACAAAAAACAAATCATAAGAACAAAGAAAGGTAAGAAAAAATATATTACCACAAATTAGTAATGCTGAAATATAACAATTATAAAACAGCTAAACCGGTTTTTCAGAACAAAAATCGAGGACAAAAAATGTGTGCAAGAACTTCAAATTTTATAAGAGCAGATTAATGTTATATAGAAACAAAAAATATGGCATTAAAGACTAATTACCTTCCACTTCTTCTGCTTACAAAGAGATGGTTGGTAGGCTATAATGTATACTGATTCCAAAACTTTCAAGTGATAATTGGTATTAACCTTACTCAGCACTGAAAACATGTTCAGTCTATCAGACCGAGCACACTTCTGGTTTTTAATCAAATGTTCAGCTATTGTTGAACCTGATACATTAATGCACCTATGTGAATTGTCCAACTTTCCATGGCTGGTATGTATCAGTTGATCCATACCTCCAACCTTTGACCTATTCTGCCTACATATTCCGTATCACACTGACATTTGAATTTGTAAATTACAGAATTACTATGATGGGTTTGCAGAACATCCTTCAGGAATGAGCTCAACATAAGTGTCTGGCACCAAAAACAATTTGTGGACTGGCAGAAAAATAACAAATTCTTATACCAATGTGAAATTTTCTTAGCAAATCAATGCATGCTAAGCACAAATAGATGAGGTATTTCTGGAGATCAATCAGCCTAGGCTTATGAAATTGTTGCATTTTTGCTCTAATGCTGGACTTCACACAGTGGTGTAGCTATGGGTGGGGCGGACCGCCCCCTGTGCCAGCACAGGAGGGGGTGACACAATGTCACCCCCAACAA